TTCCTTCTCAGTTTGGAATGCTGGGGGAAGAGAAGTTAAAAACAAAATCGAGTTCTCTGTTTGGTTCATAGTGAATAGATTTGCTATCAGTCCACGTAAAAAGCTACAATAGTCAACATTCATATTTCTGATGGTCTTGAGTAGCTTTCTGCTTTCAAAAAATTTAGTCTGACCTTGTTTCGTGAGTGGGTAGATTTTTGAGATGACCTTATTTTTACAAATTAATTATTTTAATCAGGATACTTATAAGAAATTGTCTGGCATTGCTTCCGCTGTGATCTTTCAGCAGCAGTCTGATGACTAAGAACAGAATGTTTCGTATAGTCATGCATCAGTGAAGAAATCCGCGATTAACATAAGTCGTTATGTATTGTGTTCGTAAGTGAGTGGGTTTTGGAAACTATCTGCAAATGAGATATTTTGGTCGTATTAACCCTAAGTCGTTTAAGGTGATGAAAGACTGGTAGTTGCGTTTTCTCACAGTGATATAAGTAGAGCTGATATTTTCCATTGCATTTAAACCTAGCTTTGTTTTCCTAAAAGGTATTCTCATCCAGGATAGACTACAGTTTTGACCTCATATAGGTCTTATCAATGCCCAAACCGGGAGTCGAACCATGGCAATGCATCGTGTAAGCTCGACAGTTAAACACCTACGCCACTTTGCCACATAGGCGTTTATAAGACCTATGCGAGGTCGAAACTGCTGTCCACATTGGATGAGAACACCTTTTGGGAAGGCAAACCTATATGAAATTGAATGAAAAATATCAGCTCTACTCATATCATTGTGGGAAAATTCAACTACCAGTCTTTCATCACCCCAAACGAATTAGGATTAATACAACCAAAATATAAGTCACTACGATCTCTTCCATTGAAAGTGACAGTATGAACATATCATAGTCCTCTCCGATCCTCTGCTCCTCTGGTGTATAAATAAGAAATTGTTCTTCGATGAATCTATATGAAATTGAATGAAAAACATCAGCTCTACTCATATCATTGTGGGAAAATTCAACTACCAGTATTTCATCACCTCAAACGAATTAGGATGAATACAACCAAAATATAAGTCACTACGATCTCTTACATTGAAAGTGACAGTGTGAACTTATCATATTCCTCTCCGATCCTCTGCTCCTCTGGTATATAAATAAGAAATTGTTCTTCGATGAATCTCTTGACTTACACTTGTCAAACTCACTTCTCTTTCGATGAAACTTTGTGATAACGACTCCGACTCCACCGAAGCCAAACGGCTTTTTTTCTGAGTAAACTGGTAGAAGAATTTAAATTTTGGTATTTAGAAAATATCTCATCTCTTCAAACGAAATGAAAGGTACTGTGACATGAATTTTAATTTTGTATTGGCATAATCTTCCATGTGAAGAGTCGTGATCTCCTCTTGGTGAATGTAAGTCCCAAACTTCCCCAACCAAGCTGTTTGTGCTCCTCTTCTTCTATCGGTTTTGAGTTCCTCCTCTGCCTGATCGGCATGTACCCTTTTCCGACTGTTGAACACATTTTCATAGCCACACTTGCCATTTTAATGTTTCTATGTTTTGTGGGTGAAAATGTAAGGTTATCTCTTATCTCTTCATTTGATCTCTTTTCCACCCGATTCCTCTGATTCGGGACTTCAACAGAATCTTCTATCTTTCTATTTAACGTTTTGCCTGCGCGATTCGTCCGTCGTCTACTCGCATTTTAACGGGTTCTGTGCACAAATTTGGCGAAGTGCTCTTCTGGTTCAGAGATTTCCGGTGTCATCTTGTTTCCCTTGCCTGTTTCTACCACCGACTAAACTTGTTCAGTTCAGTTTTCCACGGCCAAGATAACAGGGCTGAAAAAACCACTGTTTCCTCTCTTAAGATTGTACGAATATCTTGACTGCCTTGCAGTGGTCACAATTTTATTGTCAGTCAGCAAACAGTTTAGAAGACAGTGAAAATGCCTTTAAAAATTCTGGTCCACTGCATCCGAAGGTTAACTGTACTGCCCCGGGATCACCGTAAATGGGTCACATGAAAATCAGCCTGATTTCGTCTCTTCCGGCCAATTTAAGCACAGACCCATCATCAAGAGCTGTACTCTACTCACCATTGCCAGATCAGGACAAAAATGTGAAACAATTTTGTGTCTGTATGACCGGCGAGTTAACTCGCAAGACTACAAAGTGTGCCTTTAATGTTGAGACGAGTGAGTGGGAATAAAATAGAAAAGTGAAAATCTGAACAAAATGTCCTCTGCCTCCACAGCTCAGCAAACAGACCCTACCAAATCTCGTGTCACCGCTTTCGGCTAAACCTCACTATTGAAGAAATCTCCGTAATCCTCGTATTCACGGCAGGGAATTTCCAACACGGTTATCCCAAACCCCACTTCAGGACACATCTCCACCAGCGCCTCGGGCACACGCGAACACCACTCTTCGCATGTACCCCTCGATTTGGTCATGGCAACCGTCAGGGCCGGGGCCTCAAATGATAATAACGTGTCATTAAGTGTCTTAGCAAACTTCCCGTCCGGTCACCTGGCCCTGGGCATTTTTGTTTCGACACGAGGTGGACAGATTAATTTGCCCGAAAAGCCTTATATGGAAGCAGATAAGCTGCCAGAACGTAGGAGCCTGACGTCATGGTGCCCCCTTGCATCCGATTACCGGAGGGTCGTGCAGCCCGACTGATTAGAGAGGAGGCCAACATAATGACCCTTGGCTGCCGTTCGGGCCTGACTGTCACGGCAGGCGAAGAGATCTGTAGGGAAGACGAGTAATTATATACTCATCTCTGCATGCACGAGTCGTACCGCGTTGATGAAGCACCCAAAAGCTGGTTATGCTGGTCCAAACGCCGATCTCGGCATCCGATCTTGGAATCCTTTTGTCTACCTCTCCATGCGTACGCCCTCCATAGGGCCAGCAAGCTGTCCAGATGTACACATTCCCGGTTGATTTGACGTCCTGTTGTTATTAATTCTGTCCTATTTTATCACTGCACCATTTTCGGTTGACAAAATCCTCCCCCAAAAAACAACAGTCTGGTACAGTTTTTCAAGATAAAGCATCACCTGCTCGGTTCCGTCCACTTCGCCTTGAACAAAGTGGACATTTTCGCCCTCATCGTCTGGCCCTTGAAGCATAAATCACCACCTCTGGAATGGAAGTTCAGGGGAACTGATGCGTCACAGCGTCGCATCGAGCGTCAAATTGTAGTGTTTTCCACGATGACTGGAAAAGTTGTATTGGAAGGCCTTTCCACCTTGGACACCATTCAACTGTCAGAGCTCATGGGAATTTATTGTGGATGATAGCAGGGCGATAAGCATGCCTTCATAAATCTGCAAATCAAAAAATCATTCTATGAAATAGGCCAAATACGTTCTGCGTTTAGTACGCACAAGAACGTAGCTAGGACAGCTTTATCATCATTTCAATTATTGAGGAGGGAAGGAAATTACGTGTTGTTTACAAGCAATGTTTTCAGAAGACCAACATACGGTACCAATAAACAGGAATAAAAGTATTAAAAGACGACTAATACAGCACGCATATACCCATATTCTTAGGGTGCTGAGTCCAACTCATGCATGGCCTACTCGTGAAAGTGAAGACGTCATAGAAATTTAAGTTAATTTGGCGGAACCATTTCGCCTTATATTAACGTAATCCAGAGGTAGAATTGTGGCCTGTATGCAAATGGAGCAATTCAGGAATTTAAGAGTTACACGCACCAACCTGCCGATTTCACTCTTTATCCCCATGCTAACAGACTATCAATAGGCCAGTATATGCAGAAAAGATGAGTTTTGAAGAATCCCTTAGTGAAGTAGTGCGACTTTAATTTTAATTTTGAGGCAAAAATTTGGTTGGACAGGATTAGTGAATTAACCTCACCGGAAACCGGATGAGGATTTCCTTGGAGGGAAGACTTTTGGATGGTGCGAAGAATTCCTCGACCCTGATGAACCCGAGCTGAGCGTTCGTCTGTCATGTGACGGAAATCATCAGAGCCAGAAAGCACACTTTAAAAAAAAGTGTACCAGCATAATAAACCAGGAGAATAGATGGTCGGCTGCAAGCATACTTGCCTAATTTTGCAATCTTAATGAGGCATATAATGATTTGGTGGGTTACTTCACGCCTGAGGATAAGTGAAGTTGATACATCAACCCGCGTTTGATCCTGTATTGTGTAGTGTGTGTATGCAATTTTCAAGTCATGTGGGATGTGATAGCCCCCACCTAATTCGAGGCTATTCCAACCTCCCTCTCTTGATCAGAGATTCGTCCTGCTTACGCACGCTCTCTCTCCCATCCAACAACTATAAATAATTCGCACTCATTTTACTCCACTTTTACCTCCTATTCCGAATTTGGGCTGTCTATAGAAGTGGGTTGACCTCGTTGTTGCAACTTGGTCTTGTTGTCACGGCGACTTAGTAGAATACACCTAGTCCGAAGTCGTCTGCCATAGTAGTTTGCCTGCTTCCCAGTATCAGACAGTGGACTTGGTACATTTTCAAACGTTTCGCCGGCATCATCAGTTAGTTTTGTCATTCTCCGCATCAGGCTACGAACTCGTCAAAGAGACAAGTGAAGTCAATCCCTCGACAACCGTTCTGCCGAAAACGGTAACACTATCACTCCTCTTTCTGTCCTGGCCTATCTATTTCTAACGACTCTAATAATACATAAGATCTGTATTAACTCTACTTCGTATAAAATGATGTAGGACTGGTGGTAGAATTTTCCCACAATCAAATAAATAGGCCTCATGTTTCCATTGAATTTAACCCAGCCTCGCTATGACAAATACAACTTGTTGGGCTTACTTCCATTTCGAGTAGAAGTGTTTGGTGAAGAGATTCGAAGGTCGGTTCCACCA